ACACACACACACACACACACACACACATTTCTCTCTCTCTCTCTCTCTCTCACACACACACACACACACACACACACACACACACGCACAGTGGTGCTGACACGATTGTGCACGCACGCGCACACACATACAGCAACACATACACCCCTCCCCTCCCCACACACAAACACAACACCACCACCACCTACAGCTACAGCAATACTTTTAAACACCTAAAAAAGTGTGGACAAAGAACCCTTTTTGACTCAAACAACACTAAAATATCTGTACCGGCGCCTGTGCTGGATCGATTCGGCACATCGTTGTTGCATGCATGCGATATGAGTTCGATTCCTAAGTGGTTCAGAGAATTCTTATCGAGTGTCTCTATCTTTCTCCTGGGGTGTTGTGTCCCTCTCAGCCTGGGTTCACCCTGACAGGCAGGATCAGAAATCCGATTCCAAAATGATCTAAATTGTGTCGACGGGAGCGTAATAACACGAGCATTATTTTAAATTTCAATTTAGGTACATAGAACCACACTTATAAATTATACAATATGCTAATTCCTTCCGGCACGACTCAGCACAATGACAGAAATATACAATGCTCGACCCAAGATAAGAGATATTATGTGCACAACTTGTACTTTTTAATTATATGGAAACTTTATTTTACTTAATAAGAAATTAGTGCTTTATACGATGTGATGTGGGCCAATAGCCTTAAACACCGAATAAACTTACTTCCTTACTTAAAGAGGGTGCGGTGGCGGAGAGATTAGTGCGCTCGTCTCTGAAGCGGATAATCCGTGTTCGAGCCTCGGATCGGACATGGATTTTTTTTAGCACTCCTGCCCTCCCCTAGCAGTAATGGGTACCTGAATTCAAGCTGGGGAAGTAGAGGCGGCGTGGAAAGGAACTGGCCACACTACCACAATATGCCGAGGGCCCAGGAAGTTGTCTCACTAACAAGGCAATCTCCAATGTCCGGATCGAATGCGGGAACAACTTTACTCTACTTTACTTACTTAATAAGACACCGATCTGAGACCCAAAGCCTCACTTACATCCATACGAAATCCTGACCGGGTCGGAGAGAATGGAACCCAAACCATTGAGAGCCTCGCACTGGTAGGTGCCCACGTCCCGCTCCTCCCTGGGCCGGTGTAGGAGGAACTTGCCGTTGGTGATGGTGAAATGGTCGCCGGGGAGCAGCAGCTGTGTGGCGTTGTTGCTGCTGATGTCGCTGCCGCTGTCCTTGCTGTTGTGGAGGAAGTACCACTTGTAGCTGGGTGCTGGGTTGCTGGGGATGATGATGATGATGATGATGATGATGATGATGATGATGATGATGATAAAATACAACAAATATAATAAT